TAACACGGTGAAACCCCGTCTCTACTAAAAAATACAAAAAACTAGCCGGGCGAGGTGGCAGGCGCCTGTAGTCCCAGCTACTTTGGAGGCTGAGGCAGGAGAATGGTGTAAACCCAGGAGGCGGAGCTTGCAGTGAGCAGAGGTCCGGCCACTGCACTCCAGCCTGGGCGACAGAACGAGACGCTGTCTCAAAAAAAAAAAAAAATTAGCCAGGTGTGGTGTGGGGGATGGGGGCGCCTGTAGTCCCAGCTACAGGGGGGTTGAGGCAGGGGAATCTCTTGAACCCAAGAGGCGGAGCTGAGATCATGCCACTACACACCAGCCTAGGGGATAGAGCGAGACCCTGTTTCAAAAAAAAAAAAAAAAATCACGGATCTTGTACCTCTTACGCCTTTGAAAAGTCACATTTAATATATCATTTGAGTTAGGTAAAAGCTTCTCTGCATTTTAGCATCTGTCTCCGCCAATTTCCACTTTTTAGAAATAAGGTTTTAGAAAAGCTATTACCCAGCGAGTGGGGGTGAGGGTGCAGTTCTAAGAGCTCTGACCTTGTCCTTCAGTGCATGAGGAGCAGATGGTTCCTGCGCTCCTCTTGGTGCACCCTTTGAGCTTCGCATCCTATTTCTTCTTTCACGGTTGGTCCAGGACCAGTTACAGAAGTGGATCCGCGGTAATGTGAGTGCATGTGCGAACTCTGTTTTCATATTTGACGAGATGGATAAATTGCACCCCGGGATCATTGACGCAATCAAGCCGTTTCTAGACTACTACGAGCAGGTTGACGGAGTGTCTTACCGCAAAGCCATCTTCATCTTTCTCAGGTCAGCGGGAGGCGGTCTTTTGGGGCACACAAGCCCTTCATTCTCTCAATGATAAAATGAGGTCCCGAGGACCATCAGCACTTGGTTTACCAGGACAAAAGTGCCTGCTTGGCACAAGGCACTTACCTACTGCTTTACTTGTCTTTTCCTTTGCCAGTCTCAGCATGGCACACAGTGTGGGTTGTGGAAATGAACTAAAGAAATAATCACTGGGCCGGGAGCGGTGGCTCACGCCTGTAATCCCAGCGCTTTGGGGGGCCGAGGTGGGCGGATCACCAAGAGATCGAGACCATCCTGGCTAACA